TCGTGTACTGGCAAAGGAAAATTATGTTTCATGGAGGGATTGTGGAGGACAAATACAAGGAATGAAACGCTGAAAGTTTTTTTGAGGACAATCCACTGCTATCCAATTTGTTAATCAATTCCAGTTCTGAAACTTCTCTTTCCAACCCTCCTGGGCTTGTGCCTTTTTAAAATTTAGGCATAGGGACTTAAAGATTGCATTTGGAGAAATGGCCGGCTGTCAGATTCTTCCTGTCCAGGATGGGGCAGCGCCTAGGATTCCACCATATCCTATGGTCTCTGGGACACTTTTCCAGATTACCTAGGATTCCTCTGTTATACTCAAAAGATAACCTACATTTGTAATACAGGGCACTACATGTGTTGGCATTGCTCTGCATCACCTACTGCTTTGTTTCATCTATTTTAGACTTCTCTTCAGAACGTAAGTCATGCTGCATTAGTGTGGATCCATCTAGTCCAGGATTTTATTCATACAATGGCCAACCAGCTGCCTGTGGGAAATCCACAAGTCCGACCCGAGTTCAGTAGCACCTTCCCATCCATATTTACTTATATCCCACATTTTTTCCTTTCAAGGAACTCAAGATGGTTTACGTAATTCCCCTCCTCTCATTCTTATCCTCACAACAACAACCCTGTGAGGTAGGTTGGTCTGAGAGTCTGTGCCTGGCCTCAAGTCACAGTTGGCTCCATGGATAAGTGGGGACTAGACCCGAGATCTTCTGAGTCCCAGTCCAGCACTCTTAGCCATTACACCCTACTGGCTATCAGCAACAGGGCCACTATGCCTCTGATACTGGTGGTAGCATATAGCCATCTTGACTAATAACCACTGATGACCATCATTACCACTGGGAGCCACCCTATAATCAGTTTTGGAGAGTGGTTATTAAGATAATTAAAGAACTTATACGCTATCAATGGCTACATTTTACTAGGAAATCCCAAAATGTGGAATTCTTCAAGCAGCATAGTACTCCAAACACCAAGTCACTTGAAGAATATGCTACCAGAATCTACTTTCAGGTGTAATCTTCTGGTTGTCAGGGGCCCACAGGATTATCTGAAGCCATAGCTTGGAGGTCCTACAACCTTGCAGCAGATACTTTGAAGGCTGAGCCCCCTTCCTGCCCCACTGGCAAGTGGCATGGACAGGACTGCAATGGCTACTTCTCCAAGGATGCAGCGAGAGGTAAAAGGGGCAGGCACCCCTTCTGGCACCCTCATCTCCTTCCCTCTCGGACTTCATTGAGATTGCTGAAAATGGTCATCTAGATGAAATGCCCCGTACGGCGGTTGGGATTGCTACTGCTGTTATCTTATTCCAGGCATTGGATGCATGTAAAGCTCTGAGTTCAGAGATTCATGTTGCATCTGCAGTGGAAGACATTGGACTGCACCCTTAGTAATTAATTTACCAAGAGAAGCTAAGGCATGTACAGCCCATAACTGGAAAAAAGTAATGTTCTTCTCATTTGTGAATGGAATTTAAAGATATGATGTATTGGGGTCATGTCTAAAATAACTTATTCAACAAAACAAAAGAATGGTAATATTGAGGTACAGTGCTACCTTGGCTCACGAACTTAATCCGTTCCAGGCCTCTGGTCGTGACCCAAATTGGTCATGAGCCAAGTTAAATTTCCCCATAAGGTTCAACGTAAATAAGGTTAATCTGTTCTGTAATCATATTATTAATCAGAAAAATGTGAAGCAAAGTGACAAAGAACAACAAAGATCGCGGCCATCTCCCCCTCCCCACCCTGAGCACAAGCGCGGCCATCTCCCTGCCCCCCTGGCACAACCGAGATCGTGCCCGTCATCCCTGCACGTGCCTGTCATCCCAGCGTGCGGGGGGGGGGGGGGGCGAGACAGGTGCGATTGCAGGCACACTGGGGAAGGGAGAAATGGGCACAATCTCAGCCATCTCCCCCCTCCCCGCTCCCAGCACAATCGTGGCCGTCTCTCCACTTGGGGTGGGGTGGGGAGATGGCCGCGATCATGCTGGTTGGGGTGGGGGAGATGGCCGAGCTTGCACCCTTCTTTCTTGCGGGAGGGCGCCCGTGATCACGCACGTCTTCCCTGCACGAATGCAACTGGGATTGTGGCCATCTCCCCACTCGGGGGGTGGGGAGATGGCTGTGATCTTGGTCGCCACCCAATGTGGAGTCCGGGACCCACATCAAAATGTTAATGAAATTTTTGTTCGCAACCTGATTTGGTCGTGAATGAAGGCATTCGTGAGCCGAGGTACCACTGAATCTATTACAAAGAGGATTGTGTTTGCTGCATATTAGAGTCCATCATGATGGCATCCAACCTTTTGCATTATTTCTTTATTGTGGATAATTGTAATTTTCATATCATAGTCTAGACATTTCAGAATTATGTAATGTTGCATGATTTATATATTTTGTATATTAGTAAATGATAAAGCAACAAATTGTATTGTGATGGTGCAAGGATATTTGCATTCATTTCTCTCTTCCTCACACAAGTTTAGTCCTGGCAGCAGAGTAGGATTGGGTGGTGAGATCAAGATTAGTAAGATATTACTGTGGTCTAAAACTGGAACTGTGAGGTTTTACTGTGACATATCTAACATGAATAATCTACTTATTCATGCAATTGGCATATCACTGAACCAACAAAAATATTAATGGTTCAATCCTAAGCATGTTTATTTAAAAGTAAGCCATAGTTAATTCAATGGGATCAATTCTCAGCCTGAAGGTGAAATCCTAGGCATGTTTAGACATAAAATATTTTTAAAACTTCTGGCATTCCCCAGCCAAATTGTAGGACTTTTTCCTGTCTAAACATGCACAGGATACATCCTAAGTGAATCTGTTACATGTATGCTAACTTTGACCATCTGCTTTAAAGACCACAACAAATTACCTGAAACAACTAATTCCTTCATTTCATGGTATTTATTTAATCTTAAAGAGATAATCCTAAACACAGATGGGAGATTTATCAGGAAAGTAGTAATATGACAATAGAATTCTAAGATTGTTCCTGGAAATGTATTATATGATTTTCCTGATGATGTGACAGTAGTGAAATCTTGTGCTATTTTGACTTCCCTGAAGTTTTGAGTGTATAGAAGTTATTAATTTCAATGTAAAACATGATAAAGCCAACTCGCTGCCATCTCTTGAGATCCTTAAATCCGAACACAAGCTCTGAAAATAGGGTTGCCATCTGGCTGTTCTTAGTCAACCTAGTTTTTCTCCCCCACCATCACTTCAGTTTTTGTTTTCAATAAACAAGCGATTTAAATTTCCTTTCATACAAATCACTTAATATATATAAATAACTCATAGTTAATGTCTTCTTCCTGGGGAAAGGTTATTATTAGAAACATTTTCCATACATTTTGTTAAGGATGGGGGATGCATTATTTAGTACTATATTTCTGGAAAAAAACGGCCAAAATGGAAGATTAGGCTGTCAGTGGCTACTGATGCTGATGGCTATAGATAACCTCCAGTACCAGATGCAGCACGCCTCTCTGCAGCAGTTGCTGGGAGGCATGACCAGGATGGTGCACCCTGGTCGGTGGTGCTTGAGGGTTTCTTGAGGCAGCTGGTCATGAACAGAATGCTGGAATGTGGACCAGCAGGGCTCTCCTCCTCCTCCTCCTCCTCGCTGGCTCCTCATTCCTTTGTCAGCTCGGGAGCAGCCCAGGGCGACTGGCTGATGGCATATCAGTGGGAGCTAATGGCAGGAGATGGTTCCTTGACCATTTGAAATTTCTCTCCAGCTTTCGATATGCACATTCAGCAGAACCTAGCAAACGGAACATACTTCCAGAAGCCGGGAGATAGACAAGGAGAGGGAAAGCATGGGACAGTTCGGATTGGAAAAAGGACAGACCGAGAGACCCCATGCCAGAATAGATGTGTTACGTTGCTGTTTTGTTTCTCATTTACGAATTTAATTTGTATCCCATCCTTCTGCACAAAGAGCTCAGGACAGCTAACGCATAATAAATGCAGTAAAAGCATCAGCTGAATCATCCCATCCATCCAAACGCAAGCAGAGCACTTACTCCCCCCGCCCCCCAGGGCCTGAACAAATAACGAGATCCTGGGCTTCTCTACTGGAGGGGCCGATTCCGCTGCTTTGCTGAGGTTGCTTCTTCCGTTATCTCCGCGGGAGGAAAAAAGACTCTTACACTGCTTATTATAAAAGCTTTCATTTCGCTCCCTTTCTATATATTCTCTAAACCAAGCCTAAGGTGGCGCTGTGGCTAGCCGCGCAGGAGAGGATCGGCAGCAATACGCGAGGCTCTCGTTCCGGTTTAAATTTGAATACCAGACTTTTGTCCCTCAAAACAAAACAAAACAAAACAAAACAAAACAAAACAAAACAAAACAAAACCCCTCCAAAGCAGCTGGAAAACACGGAGGCTCTAGCTGCGTGAGAGAAGAGAATGCATGCCTCGCATGGCGAAGCCGCCGCTCACGTTGCGCCTGTGAAACGGCCTCGAAAGAGGACGCGCCGGACAGGCGCTCGCTCGCTCGCTCCCTCCCAGTCACACACACACACACGGTGCAGCTTGCCTGCCCAAACGTGCCACCCGGCGGGGCCCGTTAATTCCCTGCAGGAAAGCACGTTAGCTTCCTCGTTCCTTTTGCAGCAACAGGTTTAGGAAAAGTACCCTTGAGCAACGCCCGCCTCGCCTCGCCACGCCTCCCCGCCCCCGAGGTTGGGCCTTTAAGGCGGCAGGAGGGGCCGCCAGCGCGAGGCGGCTGGCGGCGGCGGGGCAGAGAGAGGCACCCCTCGGAGCGCCATGCGGTTTGACATACCGCAGGCCACTCCTTCCCGCACCCCCGGTCTGTCATCGCAAGACGTCCTCCTCCTCTCCCTCCTCCCCGCCCGCGAGAGCCGCGCCCCTGATTGGCTCCGGCTGGCGCAAGGGCGGGGCTGCGTCTGGGGGAGGAAAAGGTCTTCTCCCCCCCCCCGCTCCTCGCGACGTTCCAATGGGCAGCGCGGTCGGAAAATGATATCCCGCGTTCCAATGGGGGAAGTGGAGGGTCTTGCTTGATCCCGGATGCCGTCGGAGGTGGCTGAGCTAAACTGAGAAGCCGCCGCTTCGGCTCAGAGAGGCCGCGCGGGGACCTTGCCGGCTTCCCGGAAAGGGGCTTCCTGCTGCGGCGGCACCACAACCACCACCGCCAGGCGCGCGGGAAGGCAAAAGGTTCCGGTGAGCACGGCAGCCGTGCCGCCAGCCCTGAATTAGCAGTGTGCTCGGGAGCCCTCGCCATGAGCAAGCCTCAGGCAGCGATGGCATTCGCTACTCCAGCAGCACCGCCCCTCGCCTCCTTGTCCTCCAAGCGGTTGCTGTCCTCTCTCCTTGGCATCTGAGGCAGCTCCCAATGCGAGTCCTGCGCTGCATGAGGTCTGCTTAATATCTCCGTTTTACCTCCCTGCCTCTAGATCCCCTGAAAATCGGACACACAGCCGAGCAACATCCAGGCTGCGCGTGTATTTTTGATTTTGTTGAATGAACTGCTTGCATTTACAGACTTTCACAGGTAGGGTGGGTATTTGTTAACGCGTTTCAAAGAGAGGTTCTTTCGTGGACATTCCATTTCCTGCGGATTGGGGTTGGCTCTAACCCCCTTTATTTTTGCAAGGGGCTTTTGGAAATCATGGGACTCCCTGCCTTGGAATTTAGCGATTGCTGTTTGGATAGCCCTCAGTTCAGAGAGAGGCTGAAGTCTCATGAAGCTGAGCTGGACAAGACCAACAAGTTCATCAAGGAACTCATCAAAGATGGGAAGTCGCTTGTCACGGCCCTGAAGAGTGAGTGACAAGCTGCCTGTGTGTCAGAAATTTGAATGATTCTGTAGGTGGTTGAATTGAAGGGGATGCTGAAGAAGAGCTATGGTTTATGATGGGCATCCTTGGAGCAGAATTCCTACAACATCACCTGTGGGCATAATGAGGGTTGATAGGTAGACACATGCAAGCAAGCGGGAAATGAATGCAAAACATCCGTGAGAAGAGAAAATTTGGCTGTTGAATGCCGGACTCTGTAAACGGAGCAAGGGAGTTTTATGTTTCATAGTTCATGCATGCGTTTCTCTTAGCAACAAGGATGCACAGGTGTTGAGGGTTAGATAACGGAGACACTGCATGCAAAATAAATTGGGCTGTAGATCAGTTTTTCTTTTTCCATTTGGGTGTGTAGGTTTTCAAAACACATTTGCCGTTCTTGATGGTCTGTCTTTCTCTAGTCTGTGCTTCAGTGGTCTTTTGGAAAAGTGAAAGGCCTGCATATAAATAACTCCTCAAAGGGAGCTGAAGGTTCAGAGGTGAAGTTGCTTGGCTTAAACGGTTATAGTTGTTCTTGTCTGTAGCACTTAGCAAAACTAGGCTCCTTCCAGTTACAGGATACTGTTGCGGAAGGGCGACCAGGAAAGCTGGGCATCCTACGCACTTGGAAGTTCCATTGAAATCACTGCCGTAAGATAATTTGTTTTCTTTGGCTGATGTTACCGGTTAATTGTAAAGAATAGGAAGTGAAATGATAGCAGAACAGGGTTACTAGTTTGATGTGCAGAATAGATTATTACTTGGGAGACTAAGGGATTGTACAATCAGGTGTTACTGCTAAGTATATTTTGAGAACCCCAAGGATATTTTCTCTAATGAACATGATACTTGGTCATGGCACCATAACAGTACCTAAACAACCTGTGGCAGTTGCCGCTTCCCTTAAAAATTTTGGAAGCATTTGTATGAGTTTGTAGAGTTTGTTGATACACATCTGCTAAAAACAGTCCAATCTGAAGCCTACTAGCAGTGTGCAAGAGTGATGCCTGGCTGTGTTTGGTTTACTTCTTTCTGCTTGGGATTTGAAGGCAAATAATGGCACTCCTATGATGAACTCTTTGAAAGAGTTAATTGTACTAAACAAGCCTTGGGGGTCTTGTCTGTCTCCTCAGTGGTGTTGTCTGTCTTCAGTTGTCATTGATGAGGAGGATGATAATATGTGACATTCTTGGGAAAGGTTTGAGTACAACCAGACACCTGAGATAACTTGTTGGGAAGGCCAAGCATGGTCTTACAGACTAATCCTGTGCAGAATGTACCACTCCAGAATCTATTTAGATGCGGAGCAGTGTATGAATGCTCTAAATAACTTAGGTAGGCACACTTAAGGGCCAAAACAGACATTACTTTAAATGTGTTTCTAGCAGTTATGCCTTTTTTCAGTTTTCCTCCAATGTTGGTGGAGATCCCCCAAAAAAATCTGGATTGGGACCTTAGCAAGATGTGTTGAAGACTTTATTACATTTTTATGCAGCCAAAGTGAAAATACCCAAAGCTCTCTTTTAAGATCTGAATTGTAATCCTGCACCTACTCAAGAGTAAACAGGAAAAAAAGATATAGCTGCAAGATACAGAGTGATGTGTTCTGTGCTGCCCATGAGGCTCCATGAGTTCTAAGCTCATGGGAAACTAGAAGTGTTTAACTTTGTGCAGGATCTGGCTGTTTTATAGCCTACAAAATCTGAACCAGTTAAGAGCTGGAAGGTGTGAAATTAGGTATGTAGTCTGTTACTCAGAAGAAACCACCAATAACATTGGTTGCCTAGTATTTACTTTAGGCTGTGACCCTGGTAGTAAGGCCTATAGAGTACAGTGAAAATTGCTTTGGATTAGACATGCATAACATTGATTGCATGTTGAATTTGTTTTCGTCTTTTGTTTTGGAGAAATATTTGTATGATGGCATTAAAGTACTTCAGACTTGTTCTCTTACTCTTCCATAGATGTATTTTATTTATTTTCCGATTTATATCCTGCCTTTTTCCTACAAAGGGCTCAAGGCTGCTTACACACAACTATGCTCTTGAAGCTTCTACATTTCTTGGAATTCCCTGGGTCTTTAGCTTTTTTCATCTCTGAACAGGGCAGCTACCTCAGCAGTAGGTATTCAGCTTTGGTAATTTTAGTGAATAATATTTATTCTTACAATTTGTTTTGAGGCCTGGGCAACTACGGGTAGTTGGCACAAGCCAAGTATAAACCATAGTTTATAATGTTGGTTTGCTTTCATTAACCACACTTTAACCACAGTTTAGGGCTTGAACAACAGATTAAACTGAGGTTAATTTAAAATGAAAACAGAAGCGTCTGATCTTGCAGCTACACTGGAAGTAGAGGTAAAATGAGCTCTGTGCAGAGCTCATAGTAAATGAAATCTTGTGAAGAGCAGTATAGTGTTGACATACTGTGGTATTATATGGTGCATATAATAGAAATGCAGCTTTAGTGGCTGATTAATCACATGACCGTGCACACCTTCAGGCACTGTTGGTTGTGCTGTGAGTTCAAGACCCAAGCAGACATGACCTTTAGCCCTCAGTTTTAAACTGCAGCAGGCTATTAGTATTTGAAGCTGTTCCAGAAAAGTTTCCACTGTGGTCATTTCACCTGGCTGCATCAGAGGGATAGCTTTGAAGGTGAGGGCTTCTCCAGTATTTTGACGGGACTGTTGATTTAGTTCATCCTGCTGATAAATATCTTATGTAGATGCTATGGAACCTAAACATATTTATATTCCTCTTCTCTCCCTATCTTGTCTTCATTACAACCATTAAATTGCAAGCCATTATTTAAAATGGAATTGTGTATATTTGTCAAAAGGTGTAAGTAAATATGATAATTAAAATCTTGAACTCGGTAGAAATGGGCAGTGGATGATTCTAGTGAGGCACAGTTCAGGTGTGATTCCGGATAGGTAAAGTATCCTTTCTCCCTGGAAATACTTTGCAGCTCAGAAGTTCTATTATATTGCCCTTTCTATTTTTCCTTGAAAGCACTTTCAGTTTCTTTTTAACTCCTACTTAGTGCCATTCTAGCATGTATGCTTTTTTTTCTTTGTAGGGGTTCCTTTGGGACAAAACCTTGTGTTGACAGATATCAAGACATGACACTCCATTCCTCACTTGACACAGCAACTCTGGAGCTTTGCACGCCTCAACTTATTTTTGGCTCCTCTAGTATACATACATTGGGTTGCTCATCCAAAATGAAGGCAGATGGCCTGACTATTCGTAGCCTGTGTACTGAAATTGCAGTTATAGGATATCTCAGAAGTGTCCAGCTGTAGATGTAAAGTTTCTTTTCTGACCCTTCTCTGACTTTTAGGTCACATATGGAAGTGCAAGCTGTGGGTTGCTTATCCATCTTTCCTTGGAGGTTCAGATCCAGCCCATTCAAAATTTTCTTTTGAACTTGTCTTTTCAAGTTTTGAATGGAGAATAGGTATCTGCAGTGTTCCCAGCTTGTGATTGTCTATAATAGCAGTTTTTTTCCCCATGTGTGAGAGATTGCTATCATGTCTAGAATTAGGATTTTATTATTGGACAAACTGCCTGCAGTGCCACATAATTATTTCTGGGGAGATAATATAATGAAATATAAAGCTTTCATAAAACAAGGAACAAAACATTTGGTTGATGGCATTCTAGTCCTGAAAGCATGCTGAGCCCAGAAATTGCAGTTCTTGCCTACTAGTCACTGTGTCCTTTATAAAAGTTTGATTCTTTCTATTAATACTATTGTATTACAAAGCATGCAAACATACAGGAGTACCAGCTCACCCTGGATATGACACTGCTCTCCATGACCCAGATTCAGCAAATGAACAGAGACAGGCGTGGGGGAAGGGAAGGTGAGGTGTGCTACAATGTGTGTTCCGTAAGAAGGGGGATTCAGTGAGTTTCAGGAATTAAATCTGGAGCCAGCAGCATGCCTGGCAAATACTATTTGTTCTTCTCTTCCGCTGCTGAAGTTTTCATGTGCAGTAGGACATTCTCATGCTGGAGGGTGAGACATTTAACTGTAATGGAAGCTCTCAAGCTTCAGAGCTTTCAACATGACATAGTTTCCCACTCAAATAGTATCTACTCCTGAATGAGACTGAGCTGCTAATGCAAAGGCCAGATCAAGAATGACATTTGTTCTGTTTCTTACCAAAATAGAGCTGTAATTGAGGAAGACCACTGGATATAAGTTGTGCGAGCTTTTCTGATTTTGGTAATTAGTGCTGTTTGTCACTGTAGCTTTGTGCAAGGTAGAAGTGATCCATCTTGAGTGGGACACTGTGGCTATCAGTGCTTACTGAGGTAGTGGCTGGCAGGATTCAGTTTTCAATTAATTTGCCTTTTTGTGAATGATGTGCTGTTCTTCGTCGTGGCCTCTGTGCATCACACATATGGGTGCTGCGCCTGCGCAGTGCCTAGGCTGGAAGATTAAAAAGCTAACGGTTTTTGGTGGGAAAACTCCGCTCCCCTCCCCCTTCGTGGTATAAATAGAGCGGAGTGTCTGCCATTTTGTTCAGTCTTTGCGACTGCCATTCGCTGTGCCTCATGCCTGTTAACGTCCTCGCTAAGATCTTGAGTCCTTACTGTTCCTTTTGCCTTTATCCCTCTCTTTTTCTTCTTCTTAAAAATAAATAAATAAACAAACAAACAAAAAACCCCCAAAATATTATCTTACCCTCTGTCCTGTCATCTTTTCTTCTTTTTCCACAATGGCGCAGCGAGTGGCCTTTCGCAAATGCACCGCATACGGATCCAAAATGTCACCTGCGGATCCGCATGATCTATGCCTCCTCTGCCTCGGGGCATAGAACCGACAAGTGCGGCCATTGCTTGGCCTTTACCAAGCAAGCGCGGAAGAACAGGGAGAACCATCTCCGCAAGCTCCTCTGGGACCAGGCCTTGATGCAATCAGACCAACTGCTCTTACGGCCTGGTTCCTCTTCAGCCGCACCGCCTCCTCCACAC